GATACGCAAACTTTAAAATTTCCTTTTGAAAAAGTCAAGAATCCACCTGTTCATGGCAAGAACTGACCAATTCAACTAAGGATTTGTCCTTTTTTAATCATCGACTTTACTTAGATTCAATCCCAATTCAATTCTTTAACTATTGACCTCAAACCTTTCTTGGGCAATGTTCATATTGATTTTTAAAACACTGATAATTCATAACTTTATAACTCAATATGCCAAATCGATCATATAGCTCAAATTTAAAATTGTTTTTTTTGTGTTTCGAGACTAATTGTACAATTATAATGAAGCATTTGTTTGCTCTCCATTTTTAATTTTTTTTTTCAAATTCATTTTCAATCATACATTTTATAAAATTCATTATTTTTATCAGTATTTCGATTGTATATTTCATCAATTTTTATCGAATTTTACTAATCCAAACAGAGGCGAAATGTTAAAGACTGACTTGTTCTTTTTAAAATGTCGAAGACTAAATTACTTAGCACATCAATAAGTTAGATACCTTAGTGCATTTTTCACTCGAATGGGTGGAGTACTTTACCAGTTTCAGCAAAATTCAAAAGTTTGATGACCAAAATTATGGAAACAGTACAAATTTTCTTCCCAGCACAAAAAGCCTGAGAAAGGGCGGCTGCTCTGTATTTTTTACCCCTTTCATTTCATTCACATCCCAAGAAAAGGGCAAGATTGAAACGAAGAAAAGTTAAAATTGAAAACAGGGATGAAATTGAAATGAATAACCTTTCAAATGCAGCAGCCATTTCCAAAACCCAAAACCACCACCACTTCCTCGATTGTTGCAGGCCCATACCAGCAGTAGTACTGTATATTTTGGCTTTACTTTTCTTGGCAGGGCTTGGGGTCTCCATTTTCATACTCATTGTGGTCCATAATGCCCTCTTCTTCATAATCATCCTTTTTCTCTCTGTTTTTGTCACCGGGTTTTTGCTCTGGAATTCACTGAACTTCACTAGAAACGCTGCCGTTTTGTTCTTGCTCCGTTCTTTCACTGATTCTGACCTCGGCCTCGCCTCTCATGGACAGCTCGTCAAGATTACTGGGGTATGTAGTCCTTGTGTACAGTATTTTCATATTTTCAGGATTTTTTTCTTGCGTGCATCGTGTTTAGAAAAGGTGAATTCTTTTTGGATTTCTGTAGGACTCATTTTCATGTGTGTATTATGCAAGGCTCTTTGAGTTTTAGTTTATTAATTAGAATACATATATATATTTTGTTAAGTGTTCGTGACATTGAAATTAATTATGTTACTAAGGTATGACATTTCTTATTGTGTTCTTTCTAATTATGTTTTCCCGCTGATTGTTGGTATTTTGGAAATTATGGTTTCGTGTGCAATGGGCCATTGATATATCAGAACCTTCTGAATTGTGGCAATGAACTAAATCTATGATTCTGAACCCATTGTTTGAAGTTCTGATAACAAGCTACTTAATACTGGTTTACTTAAGAAGTTTATTGATTTCCGAACACCGCAATTCTTGTTGATAAGAATGTGAATTAGCCTCATCTTTTCTCAATAAATAATTGTAATACCAAATATTGATATGTGGACTGATTAATCATGTGATAAGTTTTTTGAGTAATGTGACTCTTCTTGGTCTATGTAGTTTGTTCAGATTATAGTAAAAGGAAAAAGGCCATTCTTAATGGCCATTTTTACATGAAAGCATTTATTTTCAGTCTCTTGGTTGGTTGAAAGGTACATGTACTGGAAAATACTATGTTGTTGTCTTCACTAATGAAATTAAATGATCAAACTTGAGTATGTATAGACATTTATACACTATATTCAAACAAGAGTTCTATACTCTTTTCCCCGTCCAGAGGAAATATTTTAGAGCTTCCATCAAATGACTTCCTTGTAATGATAGCACCTTGAGCTTGCTCTATCTCATAATCACAATGTCTGCAATTTTTTTTTTTTAAACACGTGTCTACGAAAATCAAATTCAATTTAGCACCCCCTTAGCATTGGCTCGGCGAGAATTGGGAGTCTTTTACGACATCTAAGAACATGAGCCACTGTTTGTCAGTATGAGTTTGAACATTTTGGGCTATGCAAATCTATGTTGCTAAGGCTACTGGTCTGTCCTGGATAGTAGCAAAGCTACCCCCCTAATGCTATTCGCTTAGGCTGAGCTAGGGTGTGTGGATTGTGTCGATGGTTTAAATGTGGTTAGAATGCTTAAAATTTGACTCCATGTTGGTTTAGTGGAAGTTCTTCCCACAAAAGCACAGGTGTCCACTATTGATAAGACAAATAAACAAGCACGTTGGGATAGTTAGGCCGTGTTCTACTTTTTTACTTAAGTCAGTGTTATAACTTGGGTCTATAAATATAGTTTATTCCTAAAATTTGCATTAAAAACCCTGTTGCAAGAGGTTTACAGGAAATTCAATAACTACGCACTAGGCAGAGATGTAGAAGGAAACGTGTATATAAATGCACTTGTTTGGTGCTTTTGAATAGGGGTAAATGTTCACTATTTCTGTTCATCTATTCACTTTGGTTCAGAGCCAGATTTTGTCAATTTTTGTTCTTGTAACTTAAACCAACCAATTAGGTGCAAGAATTGAACCCAAAGACGGCTTTAATTTGGTTTAGTTTTGGTTTGGAATGTTTAAAACTTCCGAAAGTCTGGAGTTTTATATTTTTCTAGTCAAGGTAAAATATTGTAATGACCTAAAATCAACTACATACAAAATGAACAGGTGATGAGGCTCTGACTAGTGCAAGTAGTGTATTGACTGACTGGGGATGTAGTATGGATAGTAGCTTTCATACTAACTTGATTTNAGTAGCTTTCATACTAACTTGATTTGCAGACTGATTTGGTTTACTAACTTGATTTTCAGATTTATTTGGTTTGGATCAGGCTGTTTTAAAGTCGAATATATAGAAAGCATAGAATTCTCATAGAGCACGTCCTTTTCCTAAAATATTAATGCCAAATCTAAACTCCTGCATCAATAGATAATTTTTGCTGCGTATTTTAGGATGGCATTTTGTACATACTTGCCCTACATCAACCATTTAATTGTTACTGAGGACCTGGTTTTAAAAAAGATATGCTACTAGTGGGCTTTACCAAAATTAACCAATAAAAGGATCCGACCAAAAAAATCTTATATCTTATTCATCTAGAAAAATGCTGAAATTCCAATTTTGTTATTTGAATATGTTTGTATTTGTTGGGAAAGCCAAGGGCTCAACAAGTCGAGTTTTATTACTACAATTACTTGACATGTGCTTTTTCAATTAGGCATGGCTATTGCAACGGAAATAAAAAATATCTATCCGTTTATACTTATCTAGTCGGATTAATGAATCCGTTCAAAGAAAATAAGATAATGCTTAAGTTGTCACAGGAAGCTCTAAATTACATAAGGTATAGTGGTATACCACCTACTATGTGGAAGGAAATAAATTAAGGAACCCACAGATTTTGGAAAAACTACAATTATTGTTAACCATGCAGCTTGACGAGCCACACAGGTTGGCTCAGGCTCGGGCCAAGTCCTGAAATTTGGGATTGGCCCAAGCCTTGCCGAGGCTCAAGTTGAGCCGGCGGGCTCGTCTGCCATCCCTATCCCTATCTAGTTGTGTTCAAGAACGGTAAAACGTAATCATGTGTAATAAAGCTATTGTCAAAAGTCTAAACGCTATATTATGTAAAACAAAGGTAAACGAGGGACACATCTACACATATTTTCTCACATGCACCACTTATATTCTCCCTATGGCAATCCCTCATTGTTCCAGTTTCTATATGGTCGTTCCACAATGTGGTACAATGTCAATCAGGGGCACCAAGTTTTATGTTTCAGATAATACATTACTATTATTATGTTTCTACTTTTATGTTTATGAGGAACAAATGTTCATATGAAAACATAATTATGAAAAAATTGTTTTATCACTTTAATACTACATTTATATTAAAAGTATTAGTTAGAAAATAAGTATCATTTTCATTATTCCAATTATTAGTATAATAATCTCTAAAAATTTATCACTAGCATGTCGCACCTTTTGCAGGCAGAACATGGTGCATATAGTTAGTTGGCACACATTAGACAATCTAGAGAGTAGGTCACTTTTATCTTATATTACTTGCAATAATCTAACTCTAGTGATACATATCATGTAACATAAGATGATGATGGGCTCTATAGCATACATGTCCCACTTGGGTATGTTCATGTATTTTTCCACGAGGGCTGCTGAATTGTGGAGTTTCCTTTAGCATGTATAGCAACAACTAGTCTTGGTTGACTTGACGATGCAAAGGCCATGATGGCTTGTTGGCAATTGAAATGCCGAGTGTTCACTCAATGGGCATG